TCATCAAAATTCAAAACTTTTACACTTCAAAATTTTAAGGATAAAGAAAATATGGTATATATACACAATGGAATTCTATTTAGTTGTAAAAAAAGAATGAAATCCTGTCATTTGAAGGAACATAGATGGGACCGGAGGTCATTATGATAAATAAGCCAGGCACAGAAAAACACATAACACGTGTTCTCACACGTGGGAGCTAAAAACAGTTGATTTCATGAAGACAGAGAGTAGAATGATGGTTACCAGAGGCTGCACAGGGTGAGGAGATGGGGATGAAGAGAGGTTGGCTAATGTGTACAAACATAAAGTTAGATAGAAAAAAAAAGTTCTAGTGTTTGATAGCAGAGCAGCATGACTATAGTAGTAACCAATAATATATATTTTTAAATAGCATGAAGAGAAGATTTGAATGTTCCCAGTACACACAAAAAAAGATAAATGTTTGAGGTGATGGATATCCTACTTACCCTGATTTGATCATTACATATTGTATGCATGTATCAAAATATTATCTGTACCCCATTAATATGTCCAGTTATTATCTGTCCATAAAAAGACATCATTAAGAAATGAAAAGACAAACAACAGAGTGGTAAAAATATTAGCAAAACACAAATCTAATAAAGTATTAACACCCAGAATTTACAAACGCTCTTACACAGCTTAATAATAAGATGACAATGCAACTGAAATATGGGCAAAGGATTTGGAATAGACATTTCTTCAAATAATATATACAAATGGCTAATAAGCACATGAAAAGATACTCAATATCATTAGTCAGGGAAATGCAAATCAAAACCATAATGAGGGCCAGGTGCAGTGACTCATGCCTGTAATCCCAGCACTTTGGGAGGCCGAGGCAGACAGATCACCTGAGGTCAGGAGTTTGAGACCAGCCTGGCCAGCATGGTGAAACCCCATCTCTAGTAAAAATACAAAATTAGCCAATTGTGGTGGCGTGTGCCTGTAATTCCAGCTACTCAGGAGGCTGAGGCAGGAGAATCACTGGAACCCGGGAGGTGGAGGTTGCAGTGAGCCGAGATTGCACCATTGCACTCCAGCCTGGGCAAAAAGAAACTCCATCTCAAAAAAAAAAAAAAAAAAATAGTAATGA